AATTGTAGATGATCCTTATGTTAGAAAAATAAAGATTCAAAAGTCTACCTCATGTTCAAAGAGTGAAAATCTAGATTCCTTTTTTGCCTTTCAGATCTTCAATCACTACACCATAATGGAAAGTTTAAAGTTGCTCTGTAAGCAGCCATAAACTGGGAAATATATCTATCTGACACATATGTCTTAATGGTCTAAGCTTCCTTAGTTGACAAATGGAAATTCTCTTATTTTTCAATTTCAGATTTTGGTGACTATTTTTAATAAAACCAAACCATGGGAGGATCCATATGGTGCAAAGTGTTAAATATACCCCAAGTGCTATTAAGGGATCTGAATCTCCTATGACAACAGTTTATTTGTTCTATTAAGAAACCATTTTTATGGTCAAAAGCAAATGCACCAATAGAAAGGAAAATAATCTGCTATTCTTCACAATTTATCAGAATTCCACAAGGAATACTTGGGTAGAGTGTGCAAAAATGTATATGGATTACGTATCAAACATATTCAGTAAAATTATGTAACAAAGCAGCAGTACAGAAATCTATAACTGTAAGAAATAGTATGAAAACAATAAATGAGTTTTGATCAAGGGGGTGTAGTAGCCTCAGCCTAGATGGATTTAGATTATAAAAATTTTCAAACTTATGCAGGAGGCAAAAGTGAAATAGAAATGTCAACAGAATCAAGAAATATGGATAGATATGCATTTTGTTCATTGTGAGAGTGTTGGTAGTTGAAATTCCACTGTGAAGAGTGTTGAATTATAAGATCCATAGTCATTACCACCCTGTTGGGCAATGCTTTTGCTTTTTTTGTCTAGTCTGACCATTACAGACCAAGTCAGTTTATCTTCTGTTGGTTTAATACTCTGATGAAACCCAGAAGGAGTCTTTTCAAATAGGATGACAGTGAAAGAGGATCAGAGAGGTCACATTCAGGATTATATATGAAGTAGAAGAAAAACCCTGTAAGAATGAATTATTAATCACATATAGATAATATTCTTTGTTCCTGGAAAGAGAAGAGGTGACCCTCCTGCATCAAGCACAGAGTGGCAGAAAGAACTTCTAAATTAAAATGAGTAAAACAATCAAACATGTAAAAGGGACTAGGGAAACCTCATGGTACAGTCTAATGCAATGCAAGTAGCTTTTGGAGTCACCATGCCCTACCTGAGCTCCACCTGAGTGGATTCAGACTGATCATTTTTGAGATGAATGTTCATAATTCATTGGATAAAACCTTACTATTAATATGCCAGTGTGTTCTGAAATGCTGTAATAACAAACTAATTTAAATCTTAGTCCCAATACATGCAAGAGATGAAAATGGTAAGGAGATAATAACAAGTAAAAAGATAGTATAAAAAAGCAATATAGGGAGATGTTTGAAGGTGAAGAAATATGATTGAGTAGCTCATTTGAAGATGGGGAGGAGAAACAGGATTCTTATATATTTTTAATATAAAGCTAACAATATATTGTGTCAGATTAAACGTGTAGATAAAGAGAAGAAAAATAACAAGTTATTCTAAGTTTTCAGGTAGGGAGGAGAAGGTAGTATGAAATTGACTCAAGAGCCTTGCAAGTAACTGAGATTATAATGCAGTTATTGAGGTAGAAGATTCAGTTTTCAATGTGTTAAATCTCAGATATCTATTTATATTTAACTACCTACATAAATATAGAGTTCGAGGAAAAATTCTAAGTTAGGTATGCAAACATGAGAAGCATCAACATATAGGTAACGCTATGAGCTTATGTGAGATGGCTAAGTATGGAGGTGTATATAGGCAGAATCATGAGAGTTGTTTTAGTCAGATGTTTTGCCACTGCAGCCTAAAGACCCAACAAAACCAATTTCAGAGCAGAAAATTTGTATTGGTGCTCACAATCTCAGAGGTCTTGGTCGATAGACAGCTGATTTTATAGCTCTGGACTTGAGGTGAGACAGAACTTCATGGTGGGAGGGTGTGGTAGAGGAAAACAGGTGAAGATCTGGTCACCAGGAAGTAGAGAGAGCATCTCAGCTCAGCTCACAATATACATATCCCAAAGGCACACTCCCAATAACCTACCTCCTCCAGCTGCATCTTACCTGCCTGTAGTCACCATTCTGTTAATTCCTATCTGGGTTATTAATTTACTAATAGGTTTAAGGCTCACATAACCCAATCATTTTACCTTTAAACTTTCTTGTACTGCTCCATTCATGAACTTTCAGGAGATACTTCATATCTAAACTATAAAAACAGGATATGCTGGCAGTGTGATGCATAAGAGCAGTCTGCTGAAAAGGTGAATAGTAGCTGAAATCAAAGCCATCCTCTCCCCAAGCTGTGTTTTCTGAAGAGGGACTTCTCCATCTGGAGAGCAAACTCTTAATTAGTAAGAATACTCCCTTAAGGGAAGCAGAGTCCCTAGACTAAAAATCAAAGAGCTGACTAAAGTGGCACTCCAATACTAAAAACTTGGGAAAGGGCAGTGGTTGCCTGAGGCTTGGATGGGAGGTGCAGGGTGGTGGGTGTGTGTTTGAGTGCAAAGGAGTACAAGTTAAAGTTTGGACATTAAATATTTTGTATTTTGATGAGGAAAACTAAAAAATGAGGCTCAACTGGCAAAATAGTCAAGAAATGAGAAGCCAGTGATATAAAGAAAATAAAACAAGCAAATACCTCAAAACAATCAAGTCTTCCACCCTTGAATCCATAATGAGCTTCCAAGGGAAGGAATGATTGAAAAACTGATCACTGCTTGTTAAGAATACAAATTAAAGTTAGGTCTCTGAATTAGCTATTGTATTTTCCCAAATAGTGTTCGTTGTTGAACTTGAGTGGCATTTTGATGAAGCAGTGCCTTTATTTTAGTAAGTAGAAGAGGGAATAAACAGAAATAAAAAAGAAAAAGAAAGAAATTTATTTTTTGAAGCATAGACAAATGTGCCAGTACTTGGAGAAATAAATGAATTCAGGAGATGGTATCATTCTGTATATAAATAACTGTACATTTTTAAGGTAAATTTGATTGTTCAGCAGAAAATAAAAACTGATGCAGGAGGGTAAGGTGTTTTCTAAAGCAAGGCCTTGAATTGCCAAATTGAAATAGGGCCAGGTATAAGTTATAGATGCACACACATGCACACATACACATACTCACTTTTGTGTTTAATAAAGTTTTCTAAAAAAAAAATAGAACAAATAAGTACAAGCTGGAAAGAAATCTCTTTGAATAAACCTCCTATGAGCAATTAGGTTAGGTTATGTGCTAAATGGGATTTCTCCCAAATTCATATTTCCCCAAAATCCATCCCCAGTACTCCAATACCATAGCCCATAAATATATTTGAAGAAAAGACACGTGAAAAAGTGATTATGTTAAAGTAAGATAATCAGAGTGAGCCCTGGATCAACACTGCTATCTTCATAAGAAGAAGATAGCAAGACATACAAGATAAAGATGCCAGAAACCTGCATGCAATGAGAGAAAATAATGTGTGGAAACTGGAAGAAGACAGATATCTGTGGTCCCAGGAGAGAGAACTGAAGAGAAACCAACCCAACTGGCTCCTCAAAGACGGTGATGACATGAATTTCTGTCCTGTAAGCCATCCAGCCTACTATTATACTGTTATGGCAGTTCTAGCAAATTAATAGAGGTTGAAAGCCATCCGACATTAATAAGGAAGTATTACACTCCTTTTAATTCTGTCCAGCAATTACCACCAGGGGTACTAAATAAATACCGAGTGATATAAGTGATGTAGATAAGAGTAAAAACAGTAGTGCACACGTGTAATCCTAGCTGCTCTGCAGGCTGAGGCAGAAGGATTGCAAGTTCAAAGCCAGCCTCAGAGAAAGCCAGGCACTAAGCAACTCAGTGAGACCCTGTCTCTAAATAAAATAGAAAATAGGGCTGGGGATGTGACTCACTAATCATGTGCCCATGATTATTGTCCCCACCCTTTCTCCCCCACCAAAAAAAAAAAAAGGAATGAATATAAATGGCTAGTTAAACTATGGATATGTGTTCTGTGCTTAATAATTGTTCACTGCCCCTGTATCTATTTCTTAAGCAATGGCACACTCACCCATTTATGGTAGGCAGCATGATATACGAGTTGTACCAAAGGAACAATATGGAGAGCCTTGCAGTTGAATGGTGAATTCTATTAATATGAAGAAGCATAAGGAGAATCTGAAATGTTATATCTTCCCCTAAAGGCAAGAGGGTACCTTATTCTCCATTTCCAGAACCTTTCAGGGCCAATGAATTAATGTTAAAAAAGAAATCCCTCTCTTGGGATAGTCTTATAGCTTTTATGAAGTGTTTTCCATTATAGGCATGATTCAAGATTTAAAAGAATCTTATTTCTAATTTATGTGCACACACTGGTAGCTCTTCTGTAGAGCATGTTAAGGAATAAAAATCTAATCACTTACAACTATATCAATAATTCTGTTGAGTATGACTTTTAACTCAACAGTGATTAATATGCAACCAATGAATCACAATTTTTGCATTTTACCTTCTTTGAAGTAGTGATTATTTTCCTTGTTTTCATCCTTGCTATGAAACCAATAATGTAGGAATTTAACAGAGCAAATTCTTAAAATTTCTCATTTCCATACATTGCAGTTCATTTCTCTGTAAGTATTTAATGTGGTACATCGTTGTGCAAGATAAAAGTCACTGTCTTTAAATCTCATTTCAATCACATTCTAAGTGGCACACTGCTGAAATCTTTCATTTTTACTAATGCTAAGAAAATGTTTGCTGAAAGCAGATTTGCTCATGCATTCTTTTTGTAAATGTCCTCTTATTCTTTTCCATCTGCTGAGTTGACATTTTCATTGGTCTGTAAGTCTGTAAAGAATGTTGTCTGAAAATATGCATGTTCTAAGGCATTTCTTGTTCTCTGGTGGCAGGCTCTGTGCTGACCCTCTGCAAATCTGAGTTTTGCTGAATCAATGTTTATATCATAACTATGGTAACAGTACATTGAATCACAGTTTTCTCTGTGATAAAATCTAAACAGGGAAAGAAATTTACATAGCTTCTCATATCATGGAATATTATGACAAAAACCAAATAGGTATTATAAATAGTAGGTACTGAATAGTCCAATATTTCAACAAAAAGTGTGTTTCTATTTGTACAAGTGAGAAAAGGGCAGAGAAAGAAAAAGAGTGGAGAAGAGGGAAAGTGAGAAGGAGGCCAGTCATGGCCATGCAAAGGTAAGTTGCAATAAATATATATACAGATTCAGTTACAAACTTACCTTATTGGTATTTAAATTTTGTAAGCTATCACTTTATTGTATCCATGTAAAATGAGCTATTCCCATTAATCTGATAATTGTTTGAAAATTTGGTTATAAAATGTTACCCTGACTCACATAGATCTTATATTTATTTTCCATGATATAGTACTGGATTATTTGCAAATTTGGGTCTTTTGTAAGTAATTTTTTAAAAAATATTGTATTACAAAAGTACTATACAGAGTTAATGCAATTTCAATCAAAATTACAGTGAATTCCTCATAGAAATAGAAAGAGCAGTCATGAAATTCATCTGGAAAAGTAAGAGATTCAGAATAGCTAAAGTAATCCTTAGCAAGAGGAGTGAAGCAGGTGGCATTGTTATAACAGACCTACAGAGCTATAGTAACAAAAACAGCATGGTATTGACACCAAAATAGACTTGTAGACTAATGGTATAGAATTAGAGGACATAGAGACTAACCTACAATTACATTTATCTTATATTTGATAAAGGTACCAAAAGGCTACATAGGAGAAAAGATAGCCTCTTCAACAAATGGTGCTGAGAAAATTGGAAATCCATATGAAACAAAATTAAATTAAACTCCCATCTCTTACCATGCACAAAACTTAATTCAAAGAGAATCAAGAACCTAGGAATTAAACCAGAGACACTGTGTCTATTATAAAAAAAATGTGGGCCCAAATCTCCATCATTTTGAATTAGGTCAGATTTCCTTAATAAGATTCCTATAGGGCAAGAATTAATAAATGGGATGAATTCAAACCACATAGCTTCTTCTCAGCAAAAGAAACAATCAGAAACATGAATAGAGAGCCTACTAATTGGGAAAAAAATATTCTCAACACATGCACGTTAGAGAGCACTAATCCCAAGAAAAAAAAATTCTTAACACATGCACGTTAGAGAGCACTAATCCCAAGAAAAAGAAATTCTTAACACATGCACGTTAGAGAGCACTAATCCCAAGAACATAGAAAGAACTCAAAAATCTTAGCACCAAAAAAAACAAAAACAAAAACAAACAAACAAACAAAAAACAAATAAATGGGCCAAGAAACTGAAGAGAAGTATATGAGAAGAAGATACACAATCAATTAACAAATATATGAAAAAATATTTGGCATCTCTAGCAATTAGAGAAATGAAAATTAAAACTACTCTAAGATTTCATCTCACTTCACTGAGAATGACAGCTATTAAGAATACAAACAACAATAACTATTGGCAAGGATGTGAGAAAAAAGGCACACTCATACATTGCTAATGAGACTGCAATAGTGTAGCCAATCTGGAAAGCAGTAGAGAGATTATTTGGAAAACTGGGAATGGCACCACCATTTGACCCAGCTATCCCTCTCTTTCCTTGGTCTATACCCAAAGGACTTAAAAATAGTATACTACAGGGACACAGCCACATCAATGTTTATAGCAGCACAATTCACAATAGCTAAACTGTGGAACAAACGTAAATGCTCTTTGGTAGACAAATGGATTTCTTAAAAAAATCTGGCATATATACACAATAGAATATTACTCAGCAATAAAAGATAATAAAATCATTGCATTTGCAGGTAAATGGGATGCAGTTGAAGAAAATAATGCTAAGTGAGTTTAGCCAATCATCCCCTACCAACAAAATGGCGAATGTTTTCTCTGATATAAGGTGATTGACTCATAGTGGGGTAGCAGGAGGGAGCATGGGAGAAATAGAGGAACTCTAGATAGGGCAGAGGGGTGGGAAGAGAAGGGAAGGAGCAGGGGGTTAGTAATGATGGTGGAATGTGATGGACATCATTATAAAAAAAAAAACATGTAGGAAGACATGAATTGGTCTGACCATACTTTGTATACAGAGATATGAAAAATTGTGTTCTATATATGTAATAAGAATAGTGATGCATTCTGCTGTCATATATTTAAAAAATAAAAGAAATTTTAAAAAGTGGTATATTATGCAAAAGTTAAAACTCAAAAGCTTGGGAAATACAATGCAGGTTATGTGACCTGACCTTCCCATATACATACTTGTCATACGACAGTGAACCTCACTTTTATGTGTATCCACAAGGACCTAAAAACACAAATAAACTGTAAGAAAATATCAGAAAGATCGGGACAGTCAAGGGAGCAGAAGAGTGAAAGTGAAGTACTAGGGACTGAATTAGAACAAATTATCTTCCATGCTTTTATAATCATATTAAAATGAATCCTTAAGTTATGTATAGCTAAAAATAACTAATAAAATATTTACAAAAAATTTGGACATCTTAGTTTCATAAACAAAGACCAAAGAGTAATTTTCATCAAAAAATATCTTAGAAGTTAAGGTGTTTTTTTTTTTATCTTTCTCATTCCTTTTCTTCTATTATTTTTCTTCCTTTCTACCTAATATTCTTCTATTTATAAGAATGTAAAAATTGATTTTAGTACTCTCTCAATCATGAACAACTTATTGAAATTAATGTGGATGAGGGGAAATAAATTAAAATAAAATTCAAAATAGATTTTTTTAGATCAAAGTTGCCTTGAATGAAGGAAAATTTTTATTTTAGTTCTGAAAAATTGTTGGATTATTGTGAGAGGCAGGAAAGTCACCTTGTTCTATCCACAGATAGCTTAAATACTACTATCATGCAGACTGAGAAAAATACATGTAAATTATCATGTGATTTATACACCTAAATTGCTATATGGGTAGTTATACTAATTTTGTTTTAAATTATTTGATTATTTTTTAATGTTTCTCTTTATGTAATATTAAAGTGCTGAGTGTCTTTGAACCAAGCTATATACTTAGTCAAGGAATGATTTAACTATAGAAATGCCTATTGGTATCAAAATTTTATTTATGTACTAACATATATCCATAGTTTGCAAAATCTAGTATTAACACATCCAAATTAGTTCCATTATCAAGAACTTAACTGTTATACATATTGTTATTGTATATGGCTTTTGTACAGATATAATTTATAATTTTAGCAAACAATTTGGAATGATTCAATTCCTAAGTGGTGTTGACCTGAACTATACTTTATATATTCATAATAGTTCACTTTATTAAAATGTGAAGGTCTTAAAATTCCTCATGTGTATGCCATACAGATAATGCTAGCTTAAATTTTAATAGTAAAGTAAAATATAGGTATTTTGAGTCATTGTATGGTAAAAAGAACAATATAAACTTTTTTTTCATACTAGGAATTGAACTCACGGGCACTAGACCACTGAATCACATCCCCAGTCCTATTTTGTATTTTATTTAAGGTCTCAGGGTCTCAATGAATTTCTTAGTGCCTCACCTTTGCTGAGGCTGGATTTGAACTCTTGCTCCTCTTGCCTCAGCCTCCCAAGCTGCTTGGATTACTGGTGTGTGCCACTATGCCTGGCAAACTTTTGATTAGTTAGACTCAAGTTATGGTAGGGTTCTTCTGAACTCTATTCTAAGCTTCTTACCTGCATTTTAGTGGTTTTCTGGAAATACTAGGAATTCCTTGGCTTGTAGAAGCATCACTCTGCTCATCTTCACAATACAGGTCCAAATTTAACCTTCATAGTTGAGCATCAGTCCTGTTGGATTAAGGCCTGACCTAATGACTTTATTTTTACTTAATTACTTCTGCTAAGAAACTGGCTTTCAATAAGTTTGCATTATGAAGTACCGGGGTTTAGAATTTTGAACTATAACTTTTAGAGGTGACTTAATTCCACATGTTAAAAATATATTAAGTAGAAAAGGTTATTACAAAATAATATTAATGTTACAAAAGCTTTATCTAAAACTCTATGCAGATATAGGTCTAGATATATATGACTTCAATTATTAGTAAATGAATCTTGTGGCTAAAGTAATTCTTGTGGGGACAAATTTAAGGTGGTCCTAGACTGAAATGACCTCTCTCAAGAACTGCTGAACATATTTTTCCCTCAGCGGGCTATACCTGTTGGCTCAGGTGACCTTGACACTTTGGAGCACTGTAATTCATTCAGAAGCATTCTCTAAAAACTTCTATGATCTGTCTAGCAGTTTTTCTAGACAAAAATCTTAGCTGGGTTTCTTTTGGGTTTTTCTTTCTGGGTTTCTTCCAGAAAGAAAAATGTCTTGTGGTACCAAACTTCAGGTCTAAAACCACAGTAACTTTCTAGTATTGGGTCTCTTTATGTAGTTGCCTTTAAATTCCTGGGCAGGAAATTACTTCATGAGACAACACAAAGCTTCAAGAAGTCTTCTACTTGCTAATAAACATGACCTTCTTTTCCCTAGAGAAGGGTTAGGGGAAGGAACAGATCATCAGTTCTACCCATGCAAATGTCTTCTCTTCCTCTTTTCACTTCTGTTTGTCATTCCCAGAGTCCATCTAACATCTTCATTCTGAGTTGGAACAACATCTTCTATGACAATAAAAGGAGGTGTATATCCCAATCTTCATGTAAATATGGACTTCAGACCTCTGATCGTGGATCTTGACAGCTAAAAGAATGATAAAAGAACCTGGAAAAGCCTTCCCTTTTCAATAATACCTTTGTTCCCAACTAATATCTTGCTGTCAAGTCCAATCTTTCATATTGAAGCTGATTTTTACCAGCATTTACTCTTGGGAATTCTTTTCAAAATTGCAAACTCATCACCCATCCTTAGATGTCAGAAGCAAACAAGAGAAAAAATTCTATGTTGTGGAAGAATGAAAGGAAAAACAATTTTGTTTCAAAATTGTATTAAGCCTATGAGTCAATCTGTATATATCAAGTGAAAACTTTGTGTTAAAAGTCTTCAAACCTCTCCCTTCTTGTTCTATATAAAACATAAAGTAAGATATTGTAAGCTATAGTCATCCTGCTATGTCATGCAACATTTGAACTTATTCTTCTCTATCTACATTTAAAGAGTTGGAAATGTTAATTACCATTAATGCTATTAATAACATTGTTATACTTTTTTAAACACA